GGTGGTTTCTTGTACTCATTCGATAGAAAAAATGGAGTTCTAGTGAAATAGTTATGATTTTTGTCGACTAGTACACTGGAATTGGTCGAAAATAGGGCTCAAAGTGGGCAAAATCGCCGATGTGTAAACATCGTCGAGACTGCTAACTTCACGAGAGCATAATTCCGTAAGTTTTCCATCAAATTTCATACTTTTGGTGTCATTATGATTGGGAATAGATTCTCTATCTTTTCATAAGAAATAATAATATTTTTTTTTAATTTTGGCGACCCTGAGAACAAGTCTCTGAGAGGGCCTGGTGACCCTCAAAGGGTTAAGGGAGGTGGTGATTTGACTGACATAAGTGCCTTGGGCATAGATGAAGAATAGCTGGTAGCTGTAATGAAGAGCTGGGAGTGAATATGGAGAAAGTGCAAGAGGCAATTTAAAGAATGAAGGGGTAAAGCAGTAGGAATAGATGAGATTAAAGACAAGTATGTTAAAAGCATGTGATATATAGTTTTGGAATGGTTGGTGTAACTTTACACGAAAGAAGGGAAGGTATTTAATGAATTGCTGAGAGCATCCCCAGTTCCATTACATAAGGAGAAAGAGGACGAGAGTGTAAGAGAGCTGTTGGGAAATGAGCCTGTTGAGTGAAGTATATGGTACAATTATTGTTTAAAGAGTTAAGGGTAAGATAATGTTGGATTGCAAAGGAGCAAGGAAGATTTGGGAAGGGTAAATCAAGTGTTTACATTGTACCATTTAAGTGAAATAACCTTAGGTAAGGTTATGAAACTATTTTAGGTTTATGGATTTAGAAAATGCACATGATTTGGTGAACAAGGAAACAAGAGTTAAGACACAAGTAAGGCTTAAGTTGGTTATGTAGGAGAGAAAGTGACCATTTCTCAGTAAAAGTAGACCTGAAGCAGGAATGTTTGATATCACTATGGTTGTTTAATATATTTATAAATGGGCTGTAAAAGAAGTAAATACAACAATTTTAAAGAAAGGCCTGGGATTTATAGATAATTATAGTCTTATTTGAAGGGAGAGTTATCACAGTTGCTATTTATCATTGACAGCTCTTTTGGGAGTTTCTGAATAGAAGTTGCAAATGTTGTTGCACAAATTTGGGAGTATGTAAGAGGAGGAAATTAAAAGTGAAAACTGAAAACAGCAAGGTGATAAGAGTAACAACATGAAGGTTAGGCTATGAAAAATTGAATATCATATTAAAAGGAGAGATTGGAGGGTGTGAATGTATTAAGATATTTGGGAGTAGACTTGTCAGCAGATGGCTCTGTGAAAAACAAAGTGAACTATTGTTTCAATGTTGGGGGAAATAAAGTAGGCTGAGTGTTGTACTTCAAATGTTGCAGTGAGGTGGAGACTGGAGGCTGTGGAGAGGTCATATTAAAGATCTGTGTGTGATGTGAACTTTGTGTCAAAAATTAGGAACATACAAATTAGAAGATTATGAGGTTAAGAAAGTTAATACTCTGAGGAAGCGGTCTTGAGGTGGTTTGAGGTTGGAGCAGAATAGGATACTCAAGAGGGTGTATTAATCTGGGATGGTAGGAAGGATGTTTAGGGGCACTACAGGAAGGATTGGAGGGATTGTGTGAGGGTGGTTTTAAGTGGTAGGGGCTTGAACATTCAACAAATATGTTAGACGAGGGTGAATGGAGACATGTGATTCCATTGATTTGAAGTGCTGTTGGTTCTAGAAATGGGAAGTACAGGGCTGAAGGGGTGATAGTGTTAAAGTTCAGAGGATCATTTTAACTGTGATTCTGCACATAGGTGGCAGGATAGCTATTGCAAGAATGGTTGTGAATTTTCTTGTTTTTGGTCACCCTACCTTTTTAGTGAGAGGTAATGTGAAAAAAAGGGGATGATGTAAGTATTGACCATTAAAATGCATTTTTTTCATTGGAATTACAGTAGGCATCATAAATATGCACACCTTTGCTACACCTTTAGCAGACTATTTGCCTGACAGTTTCAAGAAATGCCAGGGCAACTTAGGTATGGAAGACAATTTCCCTCGCCATGCTGACAAGGACGTAAAGAATTGGCTAAATTATTGTGATTTTTCTGTACTTTAATGACTGGCCTGGAAACTCGTTGGACTTAAATCCAATAAAGAATGTTTGGAAACTTGTTAAGCATAAATTTCATGGATTGGGCATGCCCTCTAACCCCATGATCTCTAATGCTATTAAGCAGGTGTGGGGAGGGTAATGACTTTTATCCTCCATAAATTAGCCTTATGAGTGCCTAAGAGACTTAATCCCTTCACTGTAGCACTTGCCCAAAAAATTTGTGTTGAGGCAAGATTTAAAAAAAAAAAATTATTTTATAGAATGAAAGAGTGCATTTTTATGAATCAAATATGACTAAAAGGAGTGGATGTTAATAGAAACTTAGGATTTTATGGTGTATTGAAGGTGGCAAAAAAAAAACGATCACTCACTGGCAACAATGGCATAAACGTGCTAGTGACATTTGT